ACCGAATCAAAATCCCTTGCTTGGTGGAGTGCAGAGTTTTCATCCACAGGCTTTAGTGCGTTCCATCTAGCAAAACCACAGACAAGAGAATTTGATGGACTCATATCAACCAATCCCTACCACGTTGGTCAACAGGATATCACAGTTGCAGCACCACACTGATTGGCCGAGAATCTGGACACATATAACCAATAACAGGGACTCTTCTTTTTGCACCCGCCAGACATATAGGTATTGCCTTGCAAACCATATATAGACCATCAATGATCGATGTCTCTATACTCTGGATAGGGCCCCCGTACCACCAATTAAGTATGTCCCCCGAAGTAGTGCCGTATATCTGGGTACAACGGTGTGACCACAAGTTAGGAAGCCTAATGGAGATGAATATCCTCGGAGTCGCTGGTGGTTTTGTTTGGATTTCTGGTCACATTTTGCCCGGGGGTTCCCCTGGGAGATCTTCTCCCACGTCCCAGGCAGAAGGTGCCTTTGCTGGGAGGCACTGGTGCTATCGTTCAGCCACCCTTGGGAGCCACCATGGGCCACTTGGCTTGAAACTCTTCAGGCTCCCCACCACCCGATAGCCTTCGGCTGTTGATAGCCATAGCCTTGCAGTCCTCGCAGAAAGGAACGACCGACTCGCAACCTACGAAAGGTGGCAGGTTTGGCATTTGGATGCTTTTGGAGACTTTCCTTGCAACGGAACACCTGCTTGCACGGAACACCTGCGCCCGCTGGTTTCACCATGGTTTCTCAAAGTCCGGGTCTCGACTCGCATCCGATTGGGTAGATGGACCTTTTTTCCCTTGGACCAATGGGGGTTGAACTGGGAGGTCGTGCTAGTTCTCCAAAGTAGCACCACACCTGTTCTAGCCCGAACTATGGCATCCAGAGCGGGCGACGCTCCGTTTGCTCGTCGAGATGTGGAGTCTCATCCCTTGGGCCTTCTGTAGAATGGAATTAACAGGGAACATCTCTTGATAGAAGCTGACTTTGCAGTTCTTGTGATGAGCAGGCATCCAGAAAGTATCGACATGTAAATCTTTGGATAGTTGGGTTTCTTTGGGGTAGAGAGACGCTTAGGAAATCAAGCAGATACCGTGAGTGGTTGCATAGAGAAAAAAGAGAGAGAGAGAGAGAGATAGAGAACGATAGAGAGAGAGAGAGGTTGATAGAGGAAGGCGAAGAGATGTGCAAAATACCGCCTTGTTTCAATCTTTTATGTTGTTTAAAGTGCACCCCACAATTCCGAGCCCGATGCCATACTTGGAGGCTCAACATTTGCTTGGTGGTCACTGGTGGGAAATATCCGCCGTTCCTTGCAGGTGTGTTCGGCTGATTCATAGTGCCATAGTGGACCCTCATGGCTACACCGACAATTGAGTTGCTTTTTGGTTGTCTTTATTGAGTCACCTAACAGAACTTCTTGAACATAGCGCATTAAGATGGCGGTAAGTGTAAGAGAACGAGAGTGACGAGGGTGGAGCTTCACATCCACATGTACAAAGAGTAACCGGTTACAGTCGTGTCGAACTCTTGGCATGTGCCTTACTTAAGCTTTGATCCAGAAAACACCCATCACTGTCACTGTTGGGCAAGACGCCTTTTACACCTCCTTTTTAACAGCATGTGGCCACTAAAATGGCGATGCTCCATGAAACTAGTATTAAAACTGAAGAAAGAAACACATGTGAGCGCCGGTGCAATGCTCATCTACATAGGAGGTGTTGTGTGATTGTTCTACAGTGTTTGGCCCTTAGAACCTGCAAGACAATTCCTTTCCGTATAAGTCTTCCAATTCTTCCATGGCAGCAACGGGCTCTCTCGCCAGGGTCGTTTTGGGTCAGGCCATGAACAAAATGATTTGGAACGATGACCTTGACCTTGATAACTATTTGTGGATATTTAATGATATTTGTGGGTTGACATGTTACCCAATGCTTGTCATTTGTTGTCTTAATTACTTGTGAAAGGTGTTTTGTGTGCGCCAACTGTTTAGGACTTCCAGTGCCCTGCAAGCTTGCTCCACGCTCTGCCCTACGCTTATCCTGCGCCTCCCAGGGCACGGCCTTTTGCCCGCCGAACGCAACCTGCGAGAAGCGGTCAAGAAGGCGTTCGGCGGACGAACCGGTCGCGACCGAAGCGTCGAACTCGTTGGGCGTTCGGAAACGGGACCGGTGGACCGGTGGACCGAGCTTCAGTACCCCACAAGGGGGTGGAAGAGCCTTAGGGGGTTGGGAGAGTGTCTGCAAGTGGGTGGACCCCGGTGGAGCGGATCGAAGTTGGGCCCAGCGCGGGACCCAGTTGTGGGGATCCGTTTTCGGTCCACCGGAGGGTCCGGATCGCAAGGAGGCAGGCCACAAGAAAGCCACCCTATACTCTCCTCCAAGAGGTCTTCTACACGGGAAGGAACTTCGAACCTGGGACGTTTACTTTTGTTGATTGATTCAAGTGGGTGTAGGGGCAAACAAACTTTCACTGACAACTCGGGGATTGAGTCTTTAGTGGTTCTTTTTGTACTTTTTCCAAGTACTTAGGGTGGCTAGTGTTCATCCACAGACTGGCTTTTCCTACCTTGCGTAAACGCGGACAGAGGATCAGCAAGTTCCAGGCCTTCGTTTCAAGGATGTTCTGCATGAAATCACTTCTCAAGGTAAAGCAAACACACTCTGCCAATAATCATTAACAGGCGAAAGATCACAGTCATGCATTCACTTCGATGCACGCAAGTGTTTCCTTTTGGCAATCATTTTGATTGCCACACATTCCAGGATCGATGGTTCCGTGCAGCCGGTCAAGTCGTACCGGATGCGACCTGCACCAGGGAGAGTTCTACTACCCGGCAACATCCCAAGTGAAGGTGCGGCACCAGAACTCTGAGCGGAAGGGTGAGGATCCTCCATTGGAGCTTCTCCTATCATGCTAACTACCGTAGCTAGAAGCTACTACTTGTAGTAGCAAGGTGCATCCCTACTAGGAACAATGCATCGCTACTAGTAGCTAGAAGCATGCTAGATTGGAGGCGTTCTTCCATGGCCTTAGCTGATACTAACCGGTGCTGGAAGGTGAACATCCGGTGGAAGCATGTTACTGCTGGTGTGTGGTGGGGCTGATCTGGTAGCGGGGTTCAGTTTCAGATTATTGATGTTTCCAGTAGTAAGACCTGTCATATATACTCCCATGTGTCCAAGTTTCATGTCTCATTTATGAAGAATATCACCACATCATCATGTATGCTTAAAGTACGGAAACCTAAAAGCTCGTTTCATGTGGTGTTTTGCTTTGAGGGTCTATTTGTGGAGTCGCCATCACCGATGTCGCCATCAAGCGGGTTCGGGTTCGCCCTCAACGGCGCAGGTCGACCAGGTTCGGGTCACGCGCGCAGGCGGAGCAGAACGGTCACGGGTTTGCAGATGGTTTTGGAGTGAAAGATTCTCAGGTTGGGTAGGGAAATCTACAGAGAGTCTGTTTTGAACAATAGGAGCTCCTGCAGGGCTGCCCTGTTCCTTTTTGGTGGCAATTGAATATGTCCGCATGCATTGCAAATTGTTGGCCTTTTCACTTGCTGAGAAAGTGATCTAGTCCTACAACCAACTTGGTGCCGTTGTGGCTGATACAATTTCAGCAGTAACTAGATGTAACTAGTATACGGGGCTGGACACCGACACAGTTTGTGATATCTCAGACCCCAAAATCACCAGGCAAACTTGCCCGGAAGCCACCAGGGTGGCGCTCATCAGTGGGTTGAACATCACCTTTGACTCTTCCTGCCAACCAGGTCATGTCCAGACAATAAAGTCCCGCCTAAGGCAGTGCCAGCTTGAGCAGGACCAGGTCTGCTCATGTGCGACGCCTCAATTTGGCACAGCGTGATCGATGATTCAGAATTTTGACCCCAAATCAAGAGTAAGTCACTGGAACCATGATTGCCCCTGAAATATGCATTAACTAAATAAATATATATATATATACTGATACTGCATCTTTCACGCTATTAAGCAATTTGTTGACAAATTTACGATAGTTTCCGTCTTTGCAGGGAACCGCCTTGAAGAAAAGGACTTCCAAATAACATAAATGAGACCAACATACTTTTCACAGTGACCAACAGAGGTTGAAGGACCTTATAGACTATCCCATGTAGGTACCCCAGTCAGGTCCTATTTATGGTCACTGAACCTCTCTTGGGACCGCTGACAAACCGTTTGGAGACACCATAGGCCTGGCCTGGCCCAAGGCCCTGGAGAGAGGGACTTCCACGCGCGGGACTTCCACGCGCGCCGCGTGGAGATGAGGATGAGTGCCGGATGGGCCGCTCCAAATGGAGTGGCGCGGAAGGACCTCATGCAAGTGGCAGTGATTCTACGCCTTTTCGAAAAGGCGTCTTGGTGAAAAACACAGAGCTCAGCGCATGGCTTTTTCATAGCTTGTTCGGCAGAGCGCAGCGGGCAGTTGGTTTCTGCCACCAGCCGCCGTGTTTGCCATTTGCAGGATTTGGCGGGATACCAGTTGCACCAGCAGATATGTTGAAGTGAACAAATACACAAAGGCTTTGTGTTGGAAGTCAGGGCGGACTGGGTACCGAAAATACTGCGGGGTCCTTTGGATCGATGGAGATGGGACTCAGATCCAAATCGAAGTCTTTCTTAGAGCTACTCGGTCTCAGACACGTCTTGTCGTTGGCCAACGCCGCGTCACACAGTTTCTTTGACTTAAGCATAAGACATCATCAGGTCCTACTTAAATCCTGTGAGGGAGATCGATGAGCATTCGTGCACTTGTCAAGCAGGCTAATTGATATGAGCATGTGACGCATCACATGTGGAGTATATCAAGCATAGAAGCACGTCATTTTTCCACCAGCACCAGTTGTCAGGATCACAGTGGCATCCCTCACAGCCAGTGTCACATACCCAGTTTGCCTTTGCTGGTAGCATTCTGTTTCGGTGTTCGGCCATACTTACTCCTATCCGCCCTGGAATTCAACCTGGGATGTTGTTTCAAACCCAAGGTCAGATGCTTCAAATCCAAGGTCAGAAGACACTCTTCACCATTTCAGAAGACAGACCATGGAGGACAATGGACCGGACCGTTTTCGAGGTTTTGAATGGTTTTGAGGCACAGTAAACAGATTGGAAACTGAAGGCTGCACTGGCTCAAGGCGCTCAAGGCTGCAGAGTGAGTGAGTTTGGTCTCGATGGGTGTCTTAGGCCAGGCAACTCCAGCGCAGGGACCCTGGGTGGGACGGGAAGAGGCACTTCATGGACTTAATGCAACTGAACAGCAAAGATTGGATAGATGTGAGATGTAACATGCCTAGTTATGAATACGTCGCTATGTATGTTATGACTACGCAGAACGTGTTGTTTTCCATGGGTGAGTATAGATCCACGAGTTCGATAGGCCACCGATAGACCAATTGCAAGGAAACAGGGTACCCAGGGTACACTGTGACTTACAACCCTCAGAACTCTTGCTTTTGAAATCTTTTGATCATATATGTGGATCCTTGAACATGCACCTGTATACTATTCAACCTGGTCGTCCAAGCTCATTCTTTGAAGTGTTTCTGCTTTCCCCTTCATCGTCCGCTGCGCACCTTCAGCTGTTCCACACCGCCAACCCAGCGCCTTCGCCCACAGCCGCCATGGGGCCAGCCTTTCCAACGGATCAAAAACCACCCATCTTTCGTAGAGGAACATGATCTTCCAAGGTGCCATGGTGCCATGATGGTCTTTTTCCGAGGTTCCATGTGAGGTGCCATGGGCCATCGGCTCGGAACCCCTTGTTCCCGGGCCGGGTCAGTCGCTGTCACCTCCTTTCATCCCATCCCCCCGAGTCGAACGGTTCGCTCGCCGCAGGCTATGGCTCCTTGGCCCCCCACGTGATGTTGGGCGATTTACTGAAACGCCATCCGCATGGCCAGGCCATCGGCTCCGGCTCGTCGTCGGTGCTTCGCTTCTCGGGCGGGTGGTGCAGAAGGGGAGGGGGCGGAGTCTGACCAGTCGAACTTTGGGAGAATCGGCAGGTAGATCACTGGATGAGTTCCTTCAGTATCCTTCAGTGACCTTAGCCCACTTGGACCGGCATTCGCTAAGAGAGAGCACACTGGTGGATTCTACTAGCCACCCACCCTTGGCAAGTTGGGAATTCCAGTGAGTTCCAGTAGCCTAATTTTGACATTTAGCATGTATAGTGGAACTGAGGATGTCCAGAATGAGTAAACTGCAAGTCCAACGTTGGGTGTGGGTTTGACCCACTACACATTTATGATGTTGGCATGTTTTTAGGGGGTTGTGAGCTAGGGAGGGCATGCTTTGATAGGTGCACAGCCATATACTTAGCAAGTGTCGACCTCTTACAGTATGACCCACCCGACGGAAGTGGAACTGAGTGGAGGTATGTGGAGGTCTCAGTTCGGTCGGCCGCCTGCCCAACGACTTTTGGGGATGGGTTTCTCCACCAAAACAGGTGGAAGTGAGGGAGTGAGAACAAAGGTTTTCACATGGGTGCGTTTGAGGCAGGAAGTATGCGCAATGACCACGGGTCTCCAGCACCTGGACTTGATCTGAAATTGATAGGAGACTTTTTGACTTTGTACTATATGCTCTCCCGCTATGAGTTTTCACACCCAATAATATTGACAATCCGACAAAACTACATGTACATGTGCTTTAGCAATGAGCTGCTTTAAGTATATCCCTCTGAATTGATCAATACCTTGCACAAGCGATAGTGGCCAACCCTATACGTATATCCTTCGTCTATTGCAAGCGTGTTGCTGCCTACAATCCAAAGCAGGAAACCGCTAGGGGCCATTCCAAAGTACTTGTTGATACTTTTTGGTATTTGGGACATGAAGAAGCTTTTTGCACTCCTCATCTGGATATATTAACATGAAAAGAAACCCAAAGCCAATCCACCACAGTGGGGAATGAGACAAAACAAACCAAATGGACGTGAAGTCCAGGCTCTTCACCTTGTCCGTGGGTCCTGAGTCAGAGCCTTTGATTGCTTCTAATCCTCCATTTGAAAGGAGCACATGTTTGCACCTCACTGAATTTATTGGAAGACTGGTGCTGCTCACGTTTAGCATTATTGTATTTATTAAATATGCAAACTATATAGTACCTGGGCACGCCACAGGTTTCCTGCGGTTATATGTTGCAATTTCGACTATGTCGTAGAAGCAGTTGACTCAAGCACGTGGGAAACCAGACATTTGGTCTTCAGCAGAGGTGATCCATGCTGTGCTTTCTCTGCAGCATTTGGGACGAACATGTCTCAAGAGCGCGAACAAACAACACCTCCTCGATCGTCAAGTTTGCAGACTTTGCCCCGGTGATTTGCATCGATGAAACGCTCCTCGAAAGCATGGAGGTTGGGTTGTCATTAAAGGATGTGCGAAGATCTTCGCGGAAAGGGCGCACAGGTCATTCACAGAAGTTGAGCAAGCTTGAAGACCCAGAAGAAGGGGCATCGCTATAGCAGGAGCAAGGACGCTACTAGAAGGGCATCGCTACGAACGGAGCAAGCGCGCTTGAAGACCTTCTTGCCCAAAGAGGTGAAGAAGAAGAAGAAGAAGAAGACCCATGAGAACACGACAATTACCTGTTGGAAGAACGCCCCTGCCGGTGCTGGCGTCCAAGGACTTGCGAAGATTTGTGGCAGTTGCATGAATCAGAAAACACATTAGTTTGGTCAGACCTTAAGACGACGGAAACACTCATTTCGTTCATGTTTTGGACCGAAAATCACACAACGAGCCACAGTCTACCTGTGGCGGGTTGATCAAGTAGTCCTTTCAGAATCCCTTACCACAGCCTCGTCCTCAAATCTAAAATTCCACAGTAGCAGTCAGTCGCTTGGACGGCAGGCCAATGCCGCTCTCGCTTTCAACCTGGCGTTGGCGGTTTGCGGGCCCAAGCATGGACTTTGACTGGCCTGACTTGTTTCATAGAAGCATGTCACATTGCACATGAACGTGCAGCAAGGCAAAGCCTCCATTTGGCCATCCAATCTAGGCCAGCACAATGATGGCCCAATAGGCTATAGGGGAAAAGCACGAGGAGAAGGGCTCGAGGCTTTCCGGCTGCTCACTTCAGCTCCCCACCTATACTCCTTCCACTACCAAACCTGGCAGTTTCCATTCTATCTTTATATCTCTTTGTTCCATCTCAATCATAGGAGGTTGCTCCTTGGTGCTGCTTGGGTTGTACTCCTTGGGCTTCCGCTTCAATCCGTGACCGAAGCAACACCCCAACCGATGGGTCGGATTGCAATGGAGTGACCGACCAGTCATAGACTGTTGACTGGGTGGGGCACTCTTGTGACTGGCGCCACATGAGGAAGACTCCGGAGTGGGGAGAATCTCTGGACACATGAGGACTCCCAAGTTGTTACTTGGGAGTCCTTGGCAGTCCCCCACTTCAAACAAAAATATCGCTGTGGGTCAGAACCTGCAGCCCCAAACCCTGGTAGGTTGGTAGGTGGACCTCCATGGTGGTCAACAAAAACAGTCCACCGGTCCGGGGGTTTCTCGGGTGCGAAGTCCGCCACCCGGACGACCGGTCCCGGGACGACTGGTCGAGGTCTCGTCCTTGACGGATGCGCCCTTGACCGCTGGACGGCTGTCGACCTGCTCCAAGGCCGTGCCATTGGGCGCAGATGGTGACAGGGTCGATGATTGATTGATCAGATCCGTTTCCAAAAGCTGGTTGTGGGCAGGTGTGTGACCATTTGCCTTAGATCATCACCTAAACCCGACAGCGACTTGCCAGGCCCTGCGGACGGCGATCGGCAAGGCTTTGCATGAGCTCCAACGGGAGAGGCTTTACGTCATTGGAGGTGAGGAGCGGAGCGTGGCGTCCGTGGCCGAAAACGGATATATGGACCAAGAAAAGCATGAGACACCGAGGTGCCCACATAGCAAGAAAGGAAACCCCAAAAACATTACATGAAACGATACGAAATATGTCATGGAAACACAAACCGCGATCTTGTTCGACCAGGCAGAAAGTGCTGAATTCTGCTAGATCAGCGCCACCTATTGGGATGCGCTAATGCTCGCCGCCAGCGAAATACATTCCCATCTGAAGAGCAGGGAGAAAGGAAAGAGTTTCATGGAGCAAACAATGCTCCACAAGCAAGTTGAAATCAGGACCTTCAGCACCTGGGCCAAGTTGTCAGGACCATGGAGCGCCCAGGCTCCTGCCCCATGATGTGAGTGCCATTAGTTCACTCCTCTCCAAGTGAGTCTCCAGCAGTCTCCATCCTCCATAGACTCCATTCTGGAGTCCCAACAAGTGGTATTCGCGAGCACAGCCTTCCCATTGGAGCCTTCCCAACAGTTGCCAATCTAAGTGGATCCGTGTGGGTGTGTAAAATACTGATATGGAGACGGGAGCCCCCTGGCTGGGTAGACGACCAGTTGATTTCCCGAAGCGAACCCTCGGGGGGGTCGTTGCCACGCCTGGGTCAGATACCAATCCCAGGAGATTGTACAACAGCACCGTCAATGGACACCCCTTAAACTCTAAGGGGCTATTATGCAATACTGCCTATAGGAGGTCCTTGGTCCTAGTTTGTGCGTGTATGTGCTCTTTTCAACTTTTAGCTGGGCACTCTGGGAGAGCTAGGAGCAGCGATATCCTATTGACCCGGATGTCCGTCGGGTCTAAACCGCTGGCCCTCCTTTCCCCAAGAACAAACAATGATGTATTATGATACGGTTATAGTTATATAGATATATAATATGTATATATATATATATATTTGGGTGTGTCCCCTTGTCAGGCAAACAGTCGGCAAAGAAAACACCATTTGTTGGGTACAGGCCTGCAAAACCTCCACTATCCTCCGGCCCGTTTGGACCCTTTAAATGGGATATATACAGATGTACTCCGATGTACCGATGTATCCAACCCCTCCTTGCCAACCGCTCTGAAAGGCTTGGACAACAGCTTCGCTCCTTTGGCCTTGGTCGAGCGCTTCGACCCCTTGGAGGGCACCTGGGAGACCTTGCGCCTCGGAGACGGCGACCGACGTTCGAACGGCCCGTTCCGAGGGTCCTCGGGTCCGGCAGGTGACGCGTGACAGGTCGACGCGAGGAGATGTGAGGGTCGACGGTTAAACCGGTTGCGGGGGGGGGTCGACGGTTGTCTCTCCCACAGAAAGGTTTCTTTTGGGTGTTTGTAGATGTTTGGAGTCTCCCCATGCCTCCCCAAGATACAAGCCAGGAGATTTGCTGCGTTCTTCTAAAGCTATGCCTATATTATATAGGGCTTGTCGCAGTTGTAATCCAGTCACCAGTTTATTCTGTGAAAAGGCGTTCAACTTGTCCGCTTGAGACACCAAGTATGCCCCTTGTGCTGCCCAAAGGTCAATCTTTGATGCTCAAACTGCGACCTTTGTCATCTTGACAGCCTTTCGAAGACTTGAACATCTGGAATCTGGAACCTTTCTGCACATGGTAGACAGAACAGACAATCCGTCAAAGCGGCACCCCCCCACACACACTATTGAGATTTCGGACTTTGACTATTGTACCTTTACTCACAAGGGCGTTTCAAGGATTGACCACTTCTAGACCATAAAGATGATGTAATGTATAATGAATTAACAGTCCGAGCGTCTCCTTCATTTGGAGCGTTCTTTGTTGCGTTGACTCAACCACTTTGATTTATATAGACACTTTGAATTTGCAAGGTGTTTTGCAGGTGCTTCGTGTTTTTTTTTTCCCGAAAGAGTGCTGTCAAGCAGCAGCAACCAAGCACTTTACTGCTGAACTGATGAACTCGCCCAGCTGGTAATGCAACCAAGGAACGCAAGGAAATATCTGCAAGGAAAAGATGTCTTTTCACACTGTTTTGAAAGTCATGTAGAACCAGTGCAGGATCCCTTACTCATTTGAGATGGGAAAAAAATCCCTGCGCAGGAGATGGTGAAACATGGTTTCGTGAAAGAACAGACTCTGCTTGTAGAAGGGTTACGTAACATCTTCTTGATGGTATTGTTCGGGTCACAAACTCAAACTGACCTGGACCCCCCAAATCTCAGGAAGTTCTCATCAGGCAATACATATCGATCCACGTTACAGGATTCCCCCAACTAATCTCCTCTCCAACTGATCGGGAGTCAGAGTCCCATGGGTCATGTTTTGGGATACCCTTTGACTCACAGGAAGGAAGTGGATGGCGCCGCCTGTTGAAGAAACTGGTCTTTCCAGTGGCCATGACATCTATATCATCTATATATACTTGCATGATGATTTCGTGTATGGCATACACGACCTGGAAGTATGCAAAAATCATGCCACGGCTCAAAATCGTTTGTATGCAGCATGGGTGTATTTTCCTCCTGGACCACTGGGCCAAATCTGAGTCGGAGTGTATTTCCTCCAGGTCCACCTCCAAGGTCTTGGTCTTAGTTCGACCGAGCCGACCGTCTCCTGTGCGCCGTCTCCCGGACCTCCCAGGCCTCCCATCAGCACGGCCCGCCACGGGGCATGCGCCGCCGCCTTCGGTGGATATCTGTACGTGTGCGGGGGCCCGTTGATCAGGAAGAGAGTGAAATACGAAACGCTAAAGTACCTGGTGCCAGGCAGTTGGTATCCCAGGACGCCCTTTGCGTGTCCTTTGAAAAAAGGGGCTCACCTACCTTGGGATTCGAACATCCAATCGACGGTGGGCGTGTGCCTTCTTCGTGTGGAACATAGGAACTGCAGACTTGCAGACTTGAATCAGGTTGCAGAACTGGTCTCTCTTGCATGACCATTTTGGTCGGATGTATCCCATACTCAGCCACAAATTGGAAGTCTAATTGATGGCATCAAGCACAGATGGTACATGTTCACTAGCACTCCTTCTCTCTCCTTCTCCATGGTGTTTCTAGTTCTACATAGTTCTACTATCACCAGCACAAGCACAAACACCCTGCTCAGCTCAGCACCCTCCCCATCCCTCTCCGCCCTCCAGGATCGGTGGCGAGGTCAACGGTGTGGCCCTGCGCGACGTGCAGCGCTTCGCGCCGCGGAGCGGCGCACGGCGCTGGGAGACGATGCCCTCCACGGCCTTGGGCCGCATCAAGGCGTGCCAAGACGGACGGCGACCGATCGATCGGCGCCCGGTGAGAAGAGAAAGCAAGGTTTGTGGGTCGCCTTTGCTTGGCTTTTTTGGGGCGTCATCAACGTGAGATGTGATGCTTTTAGTTGGTTTGTAATGTCTTTGTGGCATTTTGTTGATGTGTTCCATTGATGTTGTTTCATCCAATCTGCGTTGCTTTGGTTGTTGTTGTTTTCTTTGTTAAGGTAAACTGATTGAACATAAATGTGTTTTTTCAATGTAAGCTGACTGTAAGATATATTTAATAATGTGTCTGTTTTTTTCACATTGGGTTGTTGTGATATGTTGTGATTATAGTGTTTATTGGTTTTCTCTTGTCGAGGCGGCGGCCACCGAGTGTCAGGCACGGAATCTTCTGCGGTTCTGGGGGGCCTGGCGAGTCAAGCGGGACTCCTTTCGTGCTTTGGGAGAGGTTATGATTGCCATGCTTGGTTTGATCTCTATTTCATTTGAGGGACCCAACCTGTGTCGAGAGCCCGGCCAATTCCCACCGTGTAGGCGGCACGCCCAATACCGCGCAGCAAGGGGTGAGGGAGGAGTTGAACCCACAGGGGAGTCGAACCTGGGGCCAAATCCTGGGCGACGCTTTTCGAGCAAACAAACTTGACAGTCAACTACCAGACTAGAATTCGACCATTTATCAAGTTTTTTGCGGATATTTGGCAGGTGTTGGCATTTTGTGAATGTGACGGCAGGCTGATATCGCCCATCTCTCGCAGGAGTCCCTCACAGGAACCCTGCTCCGCTCACGCTCACATTCATCGGTCTGATGCTGCCCAATGTATCCACAAAGCAACACCTGTAAACTCTTGAGGCCAGTGGTTGACTTCGACCCACCCCTCAGAAGAAGCGCGTGAGAAGTGGAGCAACCTTGCATGTCTTAGGTTCACGTTGTTCATAAAACTCATACTCTTGGAATGCCCCTTGGAATCCAACAAAACGGTTGCACCGCCAACACAATTTGCCACCTGGCCAGGGTCCCCACTACCGCTGACTCTTCTGATATCAATGAAAGATAGCCATTTTCACTTAGTCTTTGTTGCTTCGCCCGAGCACGTGCAGGGGCTGCTGTATGTCTTGGGTGGGAACGATGGCTTCACTGCCTTGCGTTTGGAGCCTAATTGAGGATGACGACCTTGGATTTTGGTCGGCTGGTGAGAGCGGCAAGGATGGCCATGGTGGATTGCATAGCATGCATAGCCAATTAGCTGAAACTGTATCATTACACAATGATTTGTTTTTGAACAAAGCAATAATTTCTCGGCTTTGGCATTTGGATTTATGCAACTCGTCTAGAAAGAGAGAGATACATTTTTGCAGTTCAGCGGGTGTTCAGCCTCCATAATTCCTTCATCCTTGGATTTGCTGGCTGAACGGTTTTAACTCAAACGACTCGTCATGAGGATTTGTTTGGGTCAACGCATGCATTTGCACCGGCTCAGCCGAACAACCAAACATCCATAGTTTTGAACACATACATCGTCTCCAACACATGGCTCCAATCGCAATCCTCATGGCCTTCTGATGAATTCCTCTCCCAACCAGCTCGCCCTACCTGAGGCTCGGTGGAGCGCTATGACCCCTTTGAAGGGCGTTGGCAGAGCGTGGCCTCCATGCAGAAGCCCAGATACGTGGGGCGATGCCCAGAATCGGTGGGAGTCGGAGTGGGCATCACTTTTTGGAACCAAACAGTCGAGTCTACAGTGATGGGATCAGAAACAGGTGTGGTATTTGAGGACGGACGCCTGAAGATCCACAGGGTGTTTCAATGATGGGTTTTGTCGATGGAGAAAATAACTCACATTGATCTTTGATACGCCGGAAATAATCAACTTTGCGCATGCAGTGCAGTTGGTTTCTTTCGTAGGGGATCATTGGTATCAGATTCATCAAGTTGAATTCCTTCACCGTCGCACCCCCCTTCGCGATTCAGTGTGCAGCGTCCGGACATTTGGTTCCATTCATATGTCCTAGACTGGCGCGTCGTCTGCTACTGCTTTTGACCAAGGCAGCCTCAGCCATGGCCAGGGAGGATTGCATCCTCGTCTTCAGCGGCGAGCTCAGCGAGGCCATGCGCAGACGGAGCCGAGCCGGAAGACGGAGCCGAGCCGGAAGACGGAGAGTGCGGAAGACGGGGAGTGCGTTCTGAAGTTCTGAAGAGACTTGGAACTCAGTGATGACTAGAGGGAAGAACACGGAAATAAAATATGAGGCATGTCACTGGGATGTCCTCAAAAGCATGGTATTTACAAGCCCTCTCAAATCATGAGTAGCCTCTTACGTGAGGGTTGCAAAAATGATTCTCCTTGACCAGGTGTGGGTGACATGCTAGTGGCAGGGAGTGTTGTGGTTGGGATGTTGTGGCTGGGAGGACAAAACCTCCCAGCAGTAGCCTATTTGTACTTGTAGGAGAGCATCTCACCCTGAAAATATGTTTCACCTTTGCTTGGTTTCGACCCCAAATCCTTTGACGTTGCCCTGGTGTTCTTCCCTCGCGCAGCAGGAGGGGGCTGCTGCGTCCTTGGAAATCTACGACATCCAGGTAGGCTTTTGCACCTCACTGTCCCAGTGAGTTTTTGCCTTGCCCAAGTGGCTCTGGTGGCGGGGTGGAAGGACTGAACCGGTAAAGGGATCCTGGTGATGGGCGCGTAGTCAAAAGATACCAATACCAAAAGATTTTAAGGTGATGGAGAAGACCCCTTGAATAACCACATATCATTGGCCAGCTTTTGACCACTTATTTTCCGAATTAGGTTCTTGCTTGATCACAAATGCTATGTATACAGTATGTACAGCAGTGTTACAATTACAACTGTAATAAACATATATATATAATATATAGTATGATATGATGTGTATTATCTAAACTAAAATATAATATATATATATAGAGAGAGAGAGACAACTGTTCTTCACCAGGCCAACACCTGGCACTTGTTGCCTTCCCTGCGATCGCCCCTTTGTGGCTCCGTGCCTATCTTGAAGGCGTGGCCGGTCGTTTTCATCGGGTGCAGCATTCTATCGCCGTGCACTCTGACAGGCTACATCAGACTGAATCTTGTATATATGGTAAGGATCATGTAACACTTCCCCCGTGTTTCTGTACACTCCACGGAACATCCGGCGCCGTGACACGGCCGTCCGAACGCCAGGCGTCCGGCGATGAGGTCTACAGCTTCGGAGGAGCCTTCTGCGAGAGCTGAAGAACGATGGACTTGGATTGGATTTCCATGGAGACGACCTCTTTTGGGGGGAGACACAGTTTCAAGCTGATCCCCAATCTTCAAGAGTGAGGTGTCTCATTGTCTCATGATATGGTCTATCATTACTATATAATATAGTTGTAATTTAATCTATAATGACTATATCTATAATATAGAAAATATATACTGGTGTATTGAGGGATTGATAGACTTGTTTTCCGCGGAGCTTCTGAGAATATGTTAAATCTCAAAACCCCATAAAAGCCATGGGTGTACACAAGACTCTTGTGGTTCCAACCAATGAATCTGTCAGAGCTTCTTTCAGCAAATCTCTACACTTGCACAAAGACACCAACTCATGGCTCACCAACTCGAGCTGGTCGAGTTGGCGGGTCAGCATGGCCGAGCTGCTTTCGCCCTGGAGCCCTGGCGTTCCACGGGGCCCCCCCCCGTGGGGTCCGCGCAAGGCTTGGGCTTGAGTGGCCAAGCGTTGACCCTGGCGGAGCGTGCCTCGCTCCAGCACCTCGAGGCGGGGCACGGGCACCGCGACTGGGGTGTGTCACTGTGGAGAAGACATGTCTTAGGTGAGTGTTAAAGGCCAGGGAACTGTAGGGCATCTATCGAAATCGATCGAGTGGCTTTGCTTTCCTTCAATGGGTTTGCCAGGTGTCAGGTGGTTGTATCGGCAACTCAGAAGAGCCAGTATCACAGTTGGGCAAAAACAGAAACACACAATTCTGATCAATTCTGTCAGTACTTCTGAGGAATGTGGGTTATAGCAAAAGAGCCATGCTTTTCACCACGGACCCTTCCCTTTTCCCAGGAGCATGCCTATTCCGGATCGCCCGGAGCCCTAAGGGTTCAGCCCTTTGGGCAACTGGGTTCGGAGGTGAAAAACCTCACCCCTGCAGTGGACCGGAGCAAAGTTCGCAGGCTAACATGTGACCAACTTCCCCTGTCAATTTGCTTTCCTCCTGTTCCCTGTCTCTTCAAAAGGATCAATGATATATAAATGCTGAAACACCGCAGACAAGCCAACGTTCTATTGAACAGCAGCCAAAACCAGCCCAAGTTTCTTTGGAACAGCCAAGAAGCCAACCCACCAGCGGTTGAAGGACCTATAGTACCCATTAGTCTATAGACTATCCCATATATAGCTACCAGTAAGGTCCTATTTCCCATCACTTCACCTCTCCAGGGCCTCTCCAGGGTCGCTTCCCTCCGATCCGCGGTCGCCGCGGAGATACCGCGGTCACCCAGGTCCGCCCGGGTGCCTTGGAGCCCATTGCCACCGATGCTCACGGCGCGGCAACAGATCTCCGCCTGCAACTTCCAGGTGAAGAAAGGGCCGGAACAAACGCGAAGCGTCGTCGTGCACGGGGTGGGTTTGACCCAGCACGAGGATGAGAATTGGAGGAAAGACATTCATATATATATATAACTGGTAGCGGCTGACAGAAAACACCTCAATTGGCCCAGGTGGTCCAGCTTTGGGTACTAAGTATACTTTGTCGATGTTTTGGCCCAATGAGTTTTTGATGTTAACTCCTGTAGGCCTTTCAACACTGGGAGGTGACATGCACTTGTACATTGTACAACTGGACCAAGAGGACGTGCCGCCTGCAGATCATCCATTTTGGCTGTTGCTTGTTGCTGCAAGGCTTCCATGCATGTTCAGGCTGTTTTGTTGTGTGGCTTTCCATGGGTTTTGTGTCCGATGTTTTCCTGCATCCATCGACTTTGTCCGTAGTACGGGTATATGGACCATGAAAAAAGCCGTTTTTGACTTAAAGAACACTCATATGAGGACGGACATCCAGACATTTACACACCAGTCCACTCTCCATTGTAAGATTAGAAGACCCAACTGTTGGACTCTTTTTTCAGCCCGAAGAGGGCAGGTCGTACCAACAGGGGCACCCGGGTTTATCCCCCGGCTTTCAACGGCGCTTTCACGGTGGACCTGAGTCCGAAGCCGTTCAACGCGGCCGCCACAGTGACAAGACCCACCGAGCCAGCGAAGTCGAAAAAGAACACGGTCTTGTTGGATCTATAGTTCATACATGTTCATACCTCCTGAATCATATGAACCTTCACGGCGACGTAACGGGTCAAGTCCCAATCCGTCCATCCTCGTCCCGTTCCGGTGAGTCCCGTTCTGGGGCGGTGTCGCCGCCAGGAAGGCGTGGTCCTGGTGGGTGGCAAGGGCATCACATCGGAGGCGCTGTTCGGCGGTGTGCGCGCTGGAACCGCGGATGTTCCGCGGCGCTGTGAACAGCTAAGGATGTCCAATTGACCTTGTGGCCCCCAGGGGGTTAGGTCTATTGTTGATCTACATCCAGATTCTTCACAAGGTTCGAACGTTGGATATGTTGACGTCTCAAGGTCTCCTGAAACCGGGGGAATATATAAAGATGCAGCTCAAACACCCATTATACAGCACTTTTGCTGTCCGAAAGGTCTCAGGTCTCCGCCAGCGTGCTGAGGCACAAGCAAAGGTCGAGTGCTACTCAGAGGGACTTGGCTGGCGTGCATTGCCGCCCTTGGGCTTGCCACGCATGCGTTGCGCGGTGGTCGCAGGCCGCAGGATAGACTTGCGGCGCGATGGATCGAGACTTGTTCACATTTCACTACATTCATATATAATATACAAAGAACATACCCTCTCATAATACCCCATCTCTGGATGTTTTGGAAAAGGATTTTCCTCCAGCTTTGGGCTTCTCTCAGAGGAGTTCACTCTCCTCGGGGTGCAAATGCCAGTAGCAACAGACCTCCCCACACTTATATAACCTGATACAAATGGTGCGGCATGGTTTTTATTGAGGATATAGGTTTTGGAACCAACATCGCCCCTGCTTTAGAATCTTAACACCTAGAAATGGACGGTGTGTGGATATGGATCGCCGCGGTGTTCCTTTTTCTTCTCTTCGTCCAATCGCAACACCACCTCCGGCTGGTCCATGCCCTGGCTCAGCCTCGGTCTACGCCGCGGCATCCCTCGTCATCCAGGCCATATCTGAGCTCCGAGCCACGGGGTGGCATAGGAGGATCACAGCGTAGCAGGAAGCGCTTGCACAAGCTTGCATGCACAGTCCACAGGGTCATGTGATGCAAACACACCACAAGACCTCAACCAAGTTGCCTTGATGCTATTAGGTTGGAGGCCATCGCTATGTAGGTGATGGAGCTGTTGTTCTTTTCAAGTGCTGTCAGACCACGAGACCCTGAGAGTAGGTAAGAATACAGTAGACAGACTAGCTAGTCCCGTTTCCCCTTTTTTGCCTCTCATCGCAGCAGTGTTCGAGCACGACTATAATGATTACTTGCCAAGGACCCTAGAATACTCCTTTTTTAGGAAATCACCTTCAAGGACTGGTCAATGGCATAGTGTTCCCATTGACTAGCTTCAATCAGAACATAAACAATGGTTTCATTTGGATTGCTGCGGCGGTTGGCTTCATACAGGAAGGAGGGACTAGCAACAGATATGAGCCCCTCAGGAGTGATGTTTACTCCTTGGGCGTCGCGCTTGGCGCAAAGTTCGCATGGCGCCCTTTTTTCGGGCTTCGCACAATGCGAAGATCTCCCCTCATCACAGCGATAACTTCAGAGGTAGGCTCTGGAATGCAGTTTGAATTTGAGCAGTAAAAAGCACGAGGTCACAGTTTTGTGCTGCTGAACATGACATCATTGCATTTCCACCTGTTGAATCCAATTGCGATGGAACTCAAACATTATTGACCACCTGCCCCTGAATGCCCCTGCTTGACTGTCCTCCAAGCAAAACCAGAAAGTCCAGTCCTTCGGTCGTCTCAGAAGATTGGTGCCCAGGGGTTCGGTTTGGAGTCTCAAAGAGTAAAGAGACACAGAGGAAATCCTGAGGTGAAAAGCCTTCTCTTCAGCCACCTGAAGGTAGAGCTGCAAAATCCTGAAGGTAGGCCTTTGTTGAGGAAATCAAGGCACTTCATGAGCTACAACTCATGGAGTTTTATTCGATGGTGTTTTGATTCCTGACTAGCATTACGTCGTTCAATCCTAAACTAGGACTTTCTCTTGGGATTATCACTGTAAATGCTTCATATGCAGCTTTGCCATGTGGATTCCACTCTCTTCAAGAATGTATTGAACATGGTTTATCAGGTGTTTATCAGTGCTTTGTCACTTCAGTTTCATGTAACTCTGGGCTCTACAGGTACATGCATTTCTCAACAACCGTGATGTTCAAGGGTCCAGCCTCAGGATTAGACTTTTGTTCATGGACCAACTCCTTGACTACTTGGATAGTGTTTGAATCCCTGGTGACTGTTGCGACATGGGGATCATTTGTCTATGAAATGAGGATGATCCCATCAATCACCATGGATATATTTGACATGCAGAACATCCCACTCTTTGTAAGCATGTGTAGCATGCTGTGTGAACTAGCTGCCTGGTGCTTGTAATCACAGAAGCAGTTCAGTGATTCTTGAAGCTTTCTGCTCATAGATGTGACAGGGGACCACGGAAAAATCTTGAACATGATGACGCATGCAAGCACACAGTATGAACACCAATGGGGATTTGGACTGCTCAAAATCCCCTCCTATGATCCAAACACAACCCCCTTTGGAACAGATTTCTTCGACTGTCTATGACAAAAGCGACAATCAATCACAAACAATAAAAGCAACTTCGCAGTCAAACATACGCAGAGCTTTTCCACATGAAATCATATGAAGCACAATCTGAAACAGAACAGATGATGATGTCCGACATGTCGACGATATTGATTGTTTCTTTGTTCACCTGCTGATTTGCTGAGTGCAAGGGAGCAGCGCTGCAAGCATTTGTGCGAATCTCATGTATTCTCAAGAATATGATCGATGTCTAATTGTCTAATGTATATATAGTGTAGTTATGATGTCACAGTGCTTATCCGCAAAGTGTCACAGTCCTGGTCAGCTGTAGGGCCTGTTGGTCATCCGAGTTTCGATGTTTCTGCACAACTGGTTTTGAGGTTCATGTCATGGACAAAGTCAGGCACTGAGGACTGAGGTAAGTTGCAAGGCGCTTGGACTATGCCGAATGGTATAAGTACAACCTGCAGCAGCAAAATCAAAGTGCTTTCTTGTCGTGGATTTGTCAATTTGTGTAGAACACACGAAATTATGGTTCCGAAGAAATCGCCAGATTCTGCACAGTCAAAACAGCAACTTGTCTTCCAAAATGTGTCCTCCTGCTAAAACATCTAAAGAATGAAGGGTCGCCGTGGAGAGAAACTCAACGCATATCAGTTTGCGAACGTGAAGTGTTGAGCCTGTGTAAGTTCGGTTGGCCTTCTTGTCAGCTTTGGATGTAACCGTGTGCAACTACAACACGATCGACAAAAGATGATACCGTTAGAGATTGAGGTGTCTACAGATTTCCATGCCTTGCCCATCCAAACGATCATATACACTAAAAGGTGGTCTTTTGATGCATCTCAGTGTTCTTCAACCGAGCTACTTTCGTTGCCCCCAAAACAAAGCACTGCCGAACAACGCAGCAAACGAGGTGGGTGGACGGAACAAGACGGACGATCTGCTGGTGCCTTGGGACGGATTGGGCAGGGCGCCGTTGAGGGAGAACTGCAGGGCACTGCGGGGCACAGGGGAGGATGGTGCCCACCAAAACGGATGCGCGGCAGAGACCGCTGGAACTGGGTCTTTGGAGGTGCAGGGGGTGCTTTAAGCTGGCTGGAACCTTTCCGGAAGTGTTCACTCCATTCCGGCCGAACTTAAGCCGGCCCCCCCGGCTTGGTTTTGGCGTTCGCCTACGTCAAACCTACGTCATGTTTTTTTTTTCCGTTGTTTTTCAACATCCACAGGCAGTGGCGAAGACCATTTTTTGCCCATCATAGGTCCTTCGGAGTGGGATTTGGGGCTTTTGGTTCTCTCGTGGATGAACAGGCTGTGGGTCAGGTTTCGGGACACCCGGGTTGACCACCAAACATGAACAGAAATAGACTGCTGGGGAGATCAATCTATACTAGGGATTAGGAGGTCCGGTTTTCAGCGACCAGGTTGTAGCAAAATCCAACTCTTTGCTCAAAGCTTTGTGAGGATCGACATCTGAAGATTGCTACAACATGGTTGAAGTTTGGTTCCAAGTTTGTAAGTCTTCAACCTGGCCAACTCCCTTGGTTCCAGTCACTGGGCTATGGGATCAAAAATAGTCTTTGGGTGTCAAAAATACCGAGACTGTATAGTCTTGGGGTACACCCAAAAGAAGACTCCAACCCTGCCAGGGTCCAGGGTCCAGGACTTGGGTTCCAAGGATGTCCTGCCCTTGACGTCTTTCCAGACCGCTCCAGGCAGCGTTTCGAAAGAAGTCCACGGCCAAGTGCGATCGATCAGTTTGACTCTTCCAAATCTCTTGGCCGCTCTTCGGCGCACAAAAAGCGCAAAACAACAGAGGTGAACTTGCAGACACCGTGCCCTGCAGGTCAACTGCAGGTCAAACCCGACACGTCGACACGTCGACACGTGACCGTGTCCTCAAAATCTTCCATCACTACATACCCTTTGGTGATCCAATATGGTCATTTCCCATGGATCAATTTCATCGCAATGGTCCGTTTCCGTTCTCAGACCGTCGTTGGGAGGCGAACCCACTGGTGGTTTTCTCTTCTCGTCGAGTCGAGGCATTGGAAACCAGACCGTTTCTTGAATGAAGCTGTATTCCAACATAGCTTGATACAACGAGGCTTGCTTGGGTTCTTGAACACTTCCACATCCAATTCTGGAGGAAGATCGTGATGGGTCGCCCCTGCTGTTCCACACCTTAAGATCCGTTTCCGATTCTGAACAGTTGCTGGTTCTAGAGGAAGATCCTGATCCAGCCGGTGCCATCCACTGGATTGTCGGCAGAGAAAACGTGATCCGTGAGACCTGCATACGGACGATGCCGCATCGTATTATTTTGCGTAATTCCTCCACAGTGACAAGATCTATATTTTTGCAAAGCAGGGGAATATTATGATAGGAACAACCTCAGAGTGCTTGTTTGGAGGCTTCCTTACGATTCTACAATACACTTCTGTTCTGTCATCTACTTTCCTCGTTTTCCCAGTCCATGTATATTTAAGTTCCAAGTTGTTTAGATGTCACCAAGGATTTCCGACCGCATCGCTGGAAGCCTCAGTTGCTTCATTATGAATGTGTTGAGTTTTTGGTTGTAGGGACTGATGTTTTCCGGTGTATCCAATTCCACGCGCACTCACCCAGCCTGTTGTGAAGGGCTGTGCTTCTTTAGATCTCAACTTGGTCAATTCAAGCTTCTCAGCATATTTGCAGCCTACAGAATGGGTGAGGCCTAGCACTGCCGAGGTATATCTTAGAATATACTGCAATAGTAATAAATTTAAAACATACTCTATCCCTAGGGCTCCAAGTACCTTTTACGAAGGTGTTCGGGGTGGGTTTAGAGGGTCCAAATACCTTCTGAGGAGGTACTTGGAGCCCTACGGTTTTGTAATATAATGTATTGTTGCAATCACAGGTCGGATCGGGGCGAATACTGTTCACATATATACATATCATACACTCCTATGTTTCTCTATGTTTGGCAATGCGTTTAATTCTATTATACACATGTTAGTTCCTTTTTCCCCTGCTGAAAAAGAGTTTATACCTTAGGATTGTCTCGCAGTCAGACTTTCAGCGCTAAAGTTGATGTCCGTCGCTTTCGGCCACGGGTGGAACGGGTCAAGCGGATGTGGAACGAGCGGAGTGAGCGGAGGATCCATCAAAGTTCGTTTCATGAACCTCTTTCTGCGGGACTTAGTCAACCTACCCGGCCCGCATCGGACCTGACCCTGCTTTGACCCTGCGAGAAGCAGCAGACGATGAACATTGAATATCTTCCCATTTGAGGGTGATTCTTACGGTAGGTTGCGGGTCATCGCCATTAGGTTGGAGGCCATCACCATTAGGTTGGAGCCCATTGCTATTTCGTTCCTCAAGCTTTCTGTTTCCTTTGAGGGTGGTTCTTAGAGTCGTCACTTCGTTGCGGTTAGTCCTGATGGGGAGTCCAGTTGAGAGATCAGATCCTGTCCTGCACGTGGTCCGTTCTGCTTCTTCACCCGGCGGGTGACGGAAAT